AAAAACTTAAATTCAAATTTTTAAGTGCTTAAGATCATTTATCCACGGGGGAAAGGACCAACACAAGAGCTGTACAGCTCATCACGGCGAACCGCTGTTGTGCCCCTGTTTAAGACCATCCTAATTTTACCATGATAACTTTGAACTCATTCAGCTTGAAGGAATCTAAATTTTTTGATCCATTTCTCTTTGCAAGCAGTTCTACCCGTTCTAAACAATCGTTTTTTGAACACGGCCAATTTCTCGAGTTCAGAGAATTTTTTTTTCATCATGTTTTTTTCAGACACTGGGCTCACTCCGGGTACTGTCTACTCTTACACTGTGTTCTCAACCTACTTCGACCAGTCTGGCACCACCCTCACCAGTCTCCTGTCCCCACCCGAACAACAGTGCACCCTCCCAGCTGATGTGCCCTCTCTGAATAAGACCAACCTTCCTAATACTAACAGGGTCTTGTTTGAATGGACTGCACCGGTTGATAACTATATTGGGTAAGAGTTGTAGCTTAAGATATATCTTGAGGAAACATTTAAAAGTGTACAGTGAACAAGAGTGACCGGTTACTGCTCGAGTAGCTTATGATGTTCCTACCTCGGTTATCATTCAAAAAAAACGAAAAAAAAAATTGACAGGGTTTTTAAAAAGTTTTTTAACAATCAAATTAAGAAATGGTTCATATGTTTTTCAGTGTAAAACTGTTTGTGATTGAGCTGAAGATTTTAAATTACTGAATCTTCAATCACTCATTTAAGTTAGTTAAGTTAGTTAATATTAAAATCTGATTGTAACTGACCATATCATTTGCAATCATAAATTAAAAATATTTGCAAATTGACATGTCCTGTTTTTTACTAGATACAACTACTCCACGGATGAAGGAGTGACCTTCACCACCACCTCTGCCCAGTCTGTGACCTTGACCAACCTGGACTGGTGTGACCCCTGGCACTTCACCCTCTACTCCCTCGGCAACTGTGGCGAACACGGGGACGCAGTGTCCGAACACGCACAGGAGATTACTGGGGTTGTAGGTTGGTAATAGAAAAAAATTGTCCAAAGTAAGAGTATTTGGGAAGTTTTTGTAGTTTAAAAATGCAAGATGAACAATATTGTAGGACAATATTTTTTAAGAAAAAGTTCCAAATCGATTTAAGCCTTTGAAATTCAGATTTTTGTTAAGGTCCAAGATTTGGATAAGGGTTAAGAAATAGGCCTTTTTACACTCAGTGTAAAAATCAAAGTAGGAAGCAGAAGAAAAAAATCATCGTTGTGTGCAATCTAAAGTTCGTTGTTCAATAAAACTTTTCTTAACAGATTTTTCTCGAAACAGAAATTTTTTTTTTGAAATCAAGAACACAAACAGATCCGTGGTCTTGTGAGCATGTCAGTTTAGAAAATTTCTTTTTTTTTCAGCTCCTGCAACTCCCGTAATCTTACTCAACTCTCGAGCCCTGAGCACCAGTGAAATAGTCATCGCCTGGGACGACCCGAACACAGCACACAACTGCGACCCAGAGACGTACACGGCTATCGTGCGCAACGGGACTGTGATTTACAACTCAAGTGATCCCTCGTTCCCGCAGACCACTGATTTTGGACTGGCAGGGGCGACCGTGTACTCGTACACTGCTATGTCGTCCAGAGGAGGAGAGCCGTCGCCTATTTCGGATCCAGTCATCATTTGCACTGGTTAGATGGAAAATACTTTATGGGCAGAAAATAAACAATAAATTAGAGAGAAATTTAGAGAAGAAAACACTAGGTGGCAAAATGTAGTTTTTTTGAAACTTTTAGGAAGGGCGGAAAGGTAATTTTCCGATATTTTTCTTTATATCAACCGATTCGCCAGATTACAAAAAAGTGATAACATGCAAATCACTAATACTTATGCTCCTAAAATTTCAAAAAAAACTCAATTGGAGGGGTTGAATTAAATAAAACTCAGTTGAACTAGTATATACTATTTTTGAAAGGGAGAACGCGCCAAAAAGCGCAGTTTTGTGGTCAAAACGCTCCAAAAGGTCCCAAAAACGGCTTTTTTGACCTGTTTTGTCAAAAAATTGCTTTTGGCGCAAAAATTTTTGTCCAAATAGGGTCTTTATAGTGTTCTGGTAGCGCTCGGAAAATCAATTTGGTCCTAAAAAAATCGACCAATTTAATTTTTCAAAAAAATCTTTCGAGAAAAACTCTAGATCCGCACCTATGATGAAAACTTCTTTCGATAAAAGATTAGGGCGGCTGTGCAAAATGGTTTTCTAAACGAAAGTAGGAAGCCGAATACTATTTTCTACCGTTTTTTTTTCTGGTAGAAATCCGATTATGCCTTAACCAATTAATTATTTATTAAGAATTACTCAATTAATCGAATAAATAATTATAATGATAAGTTTGATAGAATCTAAATAATACTTTCATCAAACATCTAACTATACATAAAAAGTTTTTACCATTTTTGTAAGTTTTAATTGATTGTTAACTTCGTTGCAGAGCCCGACCCAGTTGACGCTTCAACTTTGACGTGCACAGCCACTGACACTCTCAGAATGGACTTGAGCTGGCAGCCCCCCTCTGGAATACAAGCCAGTGGATACGATCTGGACACAACTGGAAGACTCGTGAGGAATGTGAAACAGCTGAACACCAATTCATACGAGTAAGCACAGGGAGCTTTAAATAACATAGACTTTGAATTGAAGTTATTTACAATAGGTAAAATATCAATTTTTTAGAATTCCAGAATAAATTAAGAACTCCAATTGGACCATAAAAAATGTCTATTGATCAAGTTTTCTCAGGTTGGCTATCTTGGGTTGTTTTAACAATAAAATGCACTTTTGCTGTCAGTTTCTATAAACTTGCCAAAAAAGTTAAAGTAACTTAATTAAAACTTACTCATAGTTAATCATAAGTTAGAAAAAAACTTTTTCAATCGATTTTAATTGTTTTTTTTCTATTTTTTTTTTCAAAAGTTAGAACAAATTTTTGGTTGAAAAACTTTTCACTTTAATCAATTAAAATTAAGTATTTTCATCATTTCAGTTGAAAACATTTTTTTTTAGTTTATAGAAGATATCAGTTACAAATGGGTTATAATCAATCATAATTGATTATAATGGATTTTTGAACCTTGAAAAAAAAATCCCCTAAAACTCTATTCTCATGGTTAAATGGGTCATTAAAGTCAAATATGTGGATTAAATAATTTGCCGACAAAATCCATTATAATGAGTGTTTCCCATGAAACTCTAGTGCAAGCAGGCGCGTGTTTAGGATTTTTGCGTGCGTCGTGTGCCTTAAGAGGCGAAACTGTACCTATATGAAACGCCTCGTTTGGTGTGAGTGAGTGTGTATGTGTGTGAATGAATGTGAGTGTGATTATTTGTGTGTACGTGTCTGTGAGTTTGTGGAATGCAAAGACAGGCCTTGTGAGGCTGTGCGTATGCGTGAGTGTGCTTACGTGTTTGTGTGTGTGTGTGTGTGTGTGTGTTTGTCTGCGAATCTGTGGAAGCAAGACAAGCCTTAAAACGTTTCATAATTTACCGCCAATTGTTTTTTCGCCTCCAGTTTCAAGCGTTAATAATCAATGATTTAATAATTTCAGCACCAGTCTTACTAAAACTGAGATAAAATTGATTTTAATCGATAAAAAATCGAACAAAATATAATTTTTTTTTGAAATCAAATTACAATCAATTAATACATTTTAATCAATTTTAACCAAATATTAATCCATATATTTTTCGTTACAATTATAATCGATTATAATTGATTATTTTCATTCCAATTTCTAAACTATATGGTTTGCACAAAAAATTCGTTATAATCGTATATAATCGATTATAATCCCTTTTTTGTCTATTTTCTCTTCGACATTGCATCTGAATTGTTTTTAATTTATGCTTATCGCAGTCGTTAGTTTAAGTAAAAAGTGGGAAAACTGTTAAATCAATTCAAATTTAAAAGTTTTTTTTTCAGTTTCTTTTCGATAAGAGTTGTTTCATGATGCACATTTTAGGTTTTTGTAAACACCAAAATATAAGCACATTGCTTTAATTTCATGCTTTTCTCGAAGAGTAAAAAATCACCTACCGCGGAAACCTTTCAACTAAAACAAAGAGATCTCTACAGAATTTTTGTTTCGTGGTAAAACTTTGAGTTCAGATGAACCAAAGTGCGACAAGACAACTCATTTTAGAGATTTTGTTTTTGACAAAATAGCTAAACTGTAATCCGTCATAATTGATGTTTCCAATGTGCTAACATTTTGACAGAGAAAGGTATTGTAATCTATCAAAATCGATTATAAGAGACTTTAGGAAAAAAATTATAATCAATAATAAAAATGTTATCATTAGAATGGATTAAAAATCGTTTAAACGTCTAAATTTAGCTCTTATATTTGAATATGATTTTGAGAAAAGTTTATTCTTAATTAAGATTTATTCGATTACTTCTCTTTTTACTGAGTGCGGGTCAAGTGTTTATGAAATTCTCAAACAAATATCTCGCAACTCAGAATTTTCTTGGCACATAGTACGCTCGCAGAATGCGCAAATAGAAACTGTAAGTGGTTCCACAACCAGTTAGAAGATTCCGCAAACTTTAAGCGGATTCTACAAGCATAATCAACTTGTAAGCGGACTCTACGGGAAACATAGTGGCAGATTGAAGTGGTGAGGTGTTTAGAAGTGTTGCATCTTGATTATACATTTTTTCATTACCGTTATTCATTAAAAAAAAACTATTCCATTCCCTCAAACGCAACCAACAGGCACAGTTCAGGATGGACCTCGATCCACCGACTGAGATGCAGAGACCTTAACCAATTCTCAATCACTCTTCTGATCTTGCTGAAAAGCCACTTCACTTTTGTTTTTAATCATGAAAGATTTAGTGCATATAAGTCGCAATAAGTTGTTCTTAATTAACCCATTTAAGTTGTGTTTATTTGCTTGTTCACAGACTGGTAGTGAACTACCCTGGGAGTGAGTACCGGTTGAACGTGACTGTCGCTGTGTTGATCGACTGTCCCATGTCCTCCGGCTCAGCTACTCAGAGGTCAACCTCAAACACCCTCATCCCCATCACATGCTACACTTGTGAGTTATTGCCACATCCACACGTTTCCGGGTTGACAAAAAACGCTTGACATGCAACTCATTACTATGGAAAACATTTTTATCATGCAATGCTAGCAAAGTAAAGCTAGTTTTTGGAGTTTTTCAGCGCAATTTTGGGAATCAAAACTTGAAAATTCAAAAAATTTCTTCAAAGTTGTTTTTTCAAAGTTGTTTTTTCGTTATTCTAGTCATTATTCCTCAAAAACTGTTTTCCAATTGATCTATTTAACTATGAATCTCAAAATTGCCTACAATCTATTATTTTTTTTTAAAGATTTTTTTTATCACAACATGCAGAAAAAAACGACACCAATTTGAGAAAACAATTTTGTATTTTTTTCAGATCGGAACTTTCTGTGGTACTTGCACGATAGCCGGCTATCTTTGTTTTCTTTATGAAAGCAGTCTCCTTTTTTCAATACCTGTTCAAGTTCTTTCCAAGTTTTTCTGCTTGACAGCTTGCAGTCATTAATGGGTTTAATGAGCTTCCATTTTTTTCATCGTTTTTGAATTCATGGAATATAAAAGGGGACTGTGCCGTTCTGAAATTGCCATGTTTTTCTTTCGTAATTTCTTACGATAATATTAAGCACCACCTGAAAAGTTTTGTGGAGGATCAGTCGGGATTGTGTGGGGAGTGCGGGAACTAAAGAGAAACTTTTTTTCGAGAAATGTTAAAAAAGGGGAAATATTAGTTCATGTACTATTCGCGTATGGAATTCAAGTCTTGGGGTTTTGATTCTGTTACACCGACAACCTTATACGGTTCAGTTAGGGGCGTTGAAACTGCCGCTCTTTAAGCCAAGTCTGAAATCAGAATGTTAAAGTTATTTTTTCAGATGGCTGAAAAGCTCAGCTATTTAGTTCTTACCAACTGTTCAAGTGAAGAACAGTGGCTACAAAGGGTTTTGTGATCAGTAATTTTGCTTGCTTTTTCATGTGTAAGCAAAAACAGGATTAAATTCTATGATAACATAACACTATTTATATGTTTCGAAGGCTTTTTTGCTTAATTCGTTAAGTCAGCTGAGATGAAAAAAGCAGCAAAACAATTACGCGTTTTATGCCTAAATTGTATGAAGCAAAAAGCTGTGTAAGCTGTGCATATTTTTGAAGCACACGATTATGTGTGAGTGAGTGCAATCCGGATACAGTCCTTAAATGTGTAAACAAGACTGCTCGTATGGCCTTTTAAGGACTATGGAGCAAAAATAACACGAAAAAATTAAATGTAATAAAATAAAAAGATTTTTTTTTTAATTTGAGATTTTTTGTAGAAATCAAGCCCTCACACGCCATATAAAATAAAAATAGATAGAATTTTCTCCTTGTAACAAAACATTTATGACAAATAAGCTTCTTTCAAACAATTTGGAACGATTTTTAAGACAGATTAAATCTCCGCTTAAGCAATAAAAATGCGAAATATATCGCGCGTCAATTGTCCCAAGTTGGCCAAAATGGCAATCTTTAAACCCCATAACTGAACGAAAAATGACACTGGCAGGGCGGATCAAGGATTTTCTCACGGGTGGGGCGTTTTTAGGCATTTTTTTTGAAATTTCTGACCAAAAAATTGCGTTTTTTTGGCGCGCACTCCAACCTCAAAATTAGTATATATTGGCGCCGAATGTGCCTTTAGACAATTTTTAGGGTCCGTCACCAAATATGTACATCTCCAAATAACACAAACGGGGGACTCTTTGGGTCAGCAGAGAGTCGAATCACAGGATTTAAGCCCTTTTCGAATTTAAGCTCAGGACAACAATACCTTTTGAATAATGTTTTAAAATTCCGTCAAAAATGGCCAGTTAAAATGTCAAAACTTGTCTGAAGAATAAGAAAACTCACCCTGAGCACACAAATTCCGTTACTTTTGTTACAAAACTGGAACAAAAATTGTTGTTGTCTACCGATAGTGACTTTGGTTGGTTAATTTTCAACAATTTAGTCAAAAAACATCGATTAAAAAATGAAAAACAGAAATTAAAATTTAAATGTGTGGACAAAAATCTAATAAACAACAAAAGCATTTTATAATTGTAAAAAACACTGAAAACTCGCAGGGTTGAATCATTTCTTTTTTTTATCAACGCCTTTTTTCCATCGATATAAGTACTTAAGAAGTTTTCATGGTTAACCTACATTTTTTTGTTTAGTTTTTTGTCTTCATATTGAAACCTTAATGGCATTGAACGGAATTGTATGCGTTGAAAAGACCTGTTTTGAATACAAGTTATTCAAACGATAAAATTCTGGATTATATCTATTTCACAGAACAAATAAATGTTTTTATGCCTCAAAGTTTATGTTTTGCGAAGCAGGCTTTTCAGGCTATAAAATTTTGAATTTGGCAAGGTTTTTGAAGCAACCTTTTCAAAAATAAATTGTAGCGTGAATTGGTTCACTAAAAAGTTTTTGTTAGGAAGCTTCTGATGCGATGAAACTTGTAAACGATATTTCATTGCTTGAATTGATTATCAAAACTAAGTATTTCTGCGCAAACTCTTCAACCAATAAAGTTTTTTTTTAAAAATAAAGATTCCATAGAGCGAATTGATTCGCAAAAATTTCACCCTTTTTTGAGAAAATTATTCAAGTGTGTTTATCATTCCCATCTTTCATTTGTTTGGCGCCGCCTGGAGATCCCTGTGGCGGATCAGGTGAAGTGTACCATAGAAAAGGGTTACTAAATTTGCACTTTTTGGGCAAGAATCGTTGGTGAAATCTGGAAAAAATGAGTTCATGTACCATTCACACATGAAATTAAAGTCGAGTGTTTTCGAATATGTTACTCCGGGAACAGCATGTTATACAGTTAGATGTGCTGAAACTGCCACTTCTAAAAGAAAATTTGAATGAAAAGTTTTTTTAACCACTCGGTTGAAAGTTTATACAAATTTTATACAAATTTGAAAATCTTGTCCAAATCTACGTATGGATTAGACACTGATGTTTTCTATACAGTGCGACATTGAAACCTCATCATCAAGATTTTGCCAAATTTTCCTCAAAACAACAAGACTGCTCGTATCAGAGCAAAACCTTGAAGGTTCATTTAAAATGAAATGAAAAAAAAAATGCTAAACTTTGAAGTTTTTTTTATAAAATCATCACCCCACACGCCATTAAAAGTAGAAAAAATAAATTTCGCTCATTGCAACAAATCAATTATGGCAAATAAGCTTCTTTCGACCAATTTGGATCAATTTCTGAGACGGATTAAGACTCCGCTTACGCGTTAATAGCGCGAAATATATCGCGCGTTATATGTCCCAAATTGGTCAAAATGGCACTCTTCAAACCCTCATAACTTTACGAAAAATGATCATAGATGAATATCGTTTCAAATCTAAGGTCAAGACAACAATACCGTTCGAATGATATAAAAAAATTCCCTCAAAAATGGCTAGTTAAAAAGTCGAATGTTGTCTGAAGAAAAAAAACCCACCCCGAGGACAATTAATCCGTTACTTTCGTATCGAAAATCGGAACAAAAAGGACTTCAGAAAATGTGAAAACTTAGAAACTGATGCTTTTGAAGCAAATTAAATCTCATTTCAGCTGTTAATATATATTTTTGTCTTTTTTTCTATTGAAGTTTCCTTGTACAGTGCTAATTTTAATTAAACTGAAAAAACGAGCAAAACTTGAAATTTAAAACGCGTTTTTCTCAAAATGGGTTGAGTTTAGGTGAAAATTAATGAAGACAAAACCTGCTTAAAATTTTAGCAGAAATAATATGGTGTAATTTATTTCAAGAAACTCGGGCCCAAAAATTTACCCAGAAAATGGTTAATTTTGGCTTTTCTTAGTTAATCAGAAATTACGCCAAAATAACCCAGTCGATCACAGACATGATTATATCAAAGTGTGCCTCTTAAGTAGCCCAGCAAATTTTAAGAAAGGAATATCTCCAAAACCTTGTATAAGTTAATTTAATTTTGTTTGATAGACAAAAAAGGTCGTTTTTACTATAAAAAATACTAACTTTTCATTTAAAAACAATTTTCAAACGGTTTGCTGTTTTTTTGGAGAACATACCCTTTTAAAGTTTGTTGGGCTACGTAAGAGGCTCACTTTGATATAATTATGTCTGTAATCGACTGGGTGTTTTTGGCGTAATTTCTTATTCACTAAGAAAAACCAAAATTACCCATTTTCGGATTAAAATTTCAGGACCGAATTTCGCAAAACAATTTACACCATATTAATTCTGCTAAAGTTTTAGGCAAGTCAAAATGCGAGGATTTTTCAGAACTTCCACCGATTTAAGGTACCAAAGTTTTAATTCCATGAAATGAATCACATAAAACCTAGGCCCAATTGTGAGTAGGTAGTTCTGAGATTAGGTAGGTTTGATTTTAGCTAGGTTAAATAAGTTATTTTACTTAGCCAAATTGTACACAGTTAAACCTTGTTACTTGCGATCTCTCTTAAACCAAATATATTAGAGTTATAATCATTTTTTACCATATTTGAATTTGTGAATTGCCTATATCAAGCTATCTAGTGCCAAGATGTATAGCTATATTTTAAGCACTCGAAAATCCAATTAAATTCAGTGGGTTTGGAAGTCTGCACATTTTTTATTAGTCGTTCTGGTCAACCCCTATAAGCAACAAGCATGCACAACTTTGCATTTGGTTTGCTTCAGTTTCATCGGGCTATATGTTTTAGTGTTGCTTATAAGTAGAGAAAGTCGAAAGTTATCAAATTATGGTCGAGAAAGTCGAAACATATCAATGCGGGGTCAAAAAAACAATCTTTTAAAAATTATCGGTCGAGGAAATCGAGAAAGACGAAAGATATTGAATTTTGGACGAGAAAGTCGTAACTTATCTATGCGTGGTCGAAAAAACAAACTTAAGAAATTGTCGGTCAAGGAAATCGAGAAAGACGAAAGATATTGAATTTCGGACGAGAAAGTCGTAACATATCTATGCGGGGTCGAACAAACAAACTTAAAAAAGTGTCGG